GGGAGATCAGGGTTCAATCCCAGCCATAAACAAAATATTTCATTACAACTACATGTTTTCTAATTGTCATATTCTCACACAATTACCCTCATTACAAACAACTGCTGACTTGGCAGACACAAGCTGGTACTTGATTAGCAAACACATTTCAACTTGGTCACAGTTCAAGCTGCAGGCAGTGACATGCTACAAGGCAATGCACACTTGTTTTTTTGCATCGTAAAAACCCATGTCTAGTTTTATTTAGTTTGCTTTTCCTTGACATGTTGATTCTCATTGTTTTTATTTTTTATTGGATGACTTGTTTTGTATTCATATTACAATTCATGTTTGAAATAAAACAAAATTAAACTGGTTGTTCAAACTAATGTCAATCTGCACTGAGCTGAAGGTTTGAGGAAGAGGAGGCGGTGAATGTTCTGACAGACACACAACCTAGCAGCTCAAAGACTTTCTAGAATAAAACCATTTAGGTGGATATATTTCTGCATATATCTGAGCCTGATCTGAGTAAACCCAGGATAAACTCCAGCTTGTTCAGGCAGCTCCTGTTTTAAACTAACTGCAGTTAAATATAAAATCACTGCAGAAACAAAGGTTCAGAATGAATTCCATCCATGAGCTGACACAAACTACATGTGGCCTTCATTTTCTCTGGTCCTACAGAGTACAGACTCAGAAACACTGCTGTGGACTTCAACGTTTTAAWACAACGTGTAGAGAACAAGTGTCAGGTCAGTGTGCAGGAATGTTAACCCTCCATCTATAAAACAACACAAACACCATCAATAAGATCAAATAAAACAAACACATGTTGACTAACAAACAGCAACATCATTACAAAAGCTGTGCTGATTTTATTTATACAAGTTTGTGGAGAGAAAAGCAGCCAGCCAGCCCACATTCCAGCATTTAGACTGAGCCATATGTAGAAAACAGACGGAGGGGATTTCTGCAGACAGCAGCTCCCAGAGGACAGCCAGACCAGTCCAGGAAAGTGCTGCAGCTGGATAATCCATCACACGGGTCAGAGTGTGCTCCAGGTAGTGGTCAGCGGGCCCTGGGAGGACCACAGGGGCAGATGGGTGGAGCTTATTTCCCGCTGGGGATGGGTGGAGGCTGTCTCCTGCAGAGATGTGATCCAACATGTAACAGTTCATCAGCACAGCACCGCTTTATATTCAATCAGATTTTTATCTGAACAGACGTGTAAAGTAACTAAGTACAAATACTTTCTGTACTTAAGTAGAATTTTTGTGTATCTGTACTTTACTTGAGTAATTATTTTTCAGTCTACTTTTTACTTCTACTTCTTACATTTTTATTTCATCTCTGCTTGTTTTCATTGCTGCTTGTTGTTGTAAAAAATAAAAACTATCCATAAAAACTGAGCCTCCTAGAT